GGAGCGGGCTCCTGCCTGGCCACCTGTCCCGTGTCCACGTGCCCAGGGCACAACCGCGGCCCCGGGGTGCGCACCCACCCAGCGCCCACTTCTCTCTGCAGGGGGTTTCCTGTGCTTGACTACGAGGAGCGACGTCTCGAACCAGCGCTACCGGGCCGAGCTGGAGGCCGTGCTGGATGGCCTGGAGCAGCAGGGCGCCTGCCAGAAGATCCTGGCGCAGGAAGTGGAGCGGTGGGAGAGGGCCGTGTCCGAGGAGGAGAGCACCCAGGGCACAGGCTACATCTCTGGGGTGGTCTATGTTTATCGGAAGTGCCCAGTCCCGCCTCTGGAGGAGGATTAAGGGCACGGGATGGATCTGGGAAGGGAAGTTGCACGTTTGTCCCTTGTAAAACCTCACCCTGTTTTGTTTGCTTTCCACCTCGCTCCTAGAGCAGAGCCTCAGTGCTGGGAGTGATGATGTTCTTGGGGAACCATCAGAGCCAAGTGCTGGAGCAGCAGCCTCCTGTGCTCAGCACTTCCTCACGACACCCACCTGTCTGAGCAGTCTGCCTGGGAGGCCTGTCCCCTTCTTTCCGCATCCTGCACAAGGGCTCCTTTGCCAGATCCTTCTGCAGCGCTTCTGGACCCTGCCCAGCTCACAGCCCTGAAACGGTTCCTCTTTGCTCCCGAGGATCTGCTTACTGCCTAAACTGCCCTCGTTCCCCTTCACTGGCTCCTTTTCGGAGGTCGCAGCCCTGGGGACATTGCCCCTCAGCTCTGGGATGCTTTCCACGTTTCACTAGGTCTCCCAGGCCTTAGGTCTGATGTGCAGGTACCTTTTCCAGCCATTTGGTTCCCATCCTTACTGTGACATCTCGCAGATCTGGCTGGATAGAGCCGTTCCCTATCTGGATTTCCTCCTCCCTGTGTTGTCCTCTTCTCAACCCTCCCACATGGCTATGGGCAAACTCTGGATCCATCCTCATTTTCCCAGCTAGGTGTAACTGCTGGTGGGTCCCCATCGACACATGCTGCAGTCTTCCTCCTCATCCTCCCTTGACCTTCCTCTCTACCAAGAACTAATCCAGCAGCTACAGAAGGGATTTTCCTCAAGGGCAGCGTGCCTTGGCATGGGAACAGCTCTTAACACCCAGCCTACAGCAGCCTTCAAAGCACCGCATCCACCTCTCTTCAGTGGCTGCTTAAGCTCTCATTTTCCTACAGCTTGGCAGTTAATGGTCTGTATGGAAAATGAGGCTGGAAGAGAACTCGGGAGGCTGGTGGCTGCTCCCTACCCAAGAGCTGGCTCTGCCAGGCCGTGCCCATCTCCTTGCTGGTTTGGCCTGTTCCCCAAGCCCCTTGTGGTGGTGCTTTCACCCCTTCCTCTTTGAGTGCTTCCTTGGGAAGGTTTTTACTCAAATCTCGTGCTGGGATTTCTTGTTTATCTCTTTTTTTTTTAGGCCTGTTACTTCTTGTCTGCTTCCCTTGGAGAACAGGTTATCTGCTTCCTCTTCTGGGCTCTTTCCCAGCTGCGGATGGTGATTGTGTCTCTGCACTTCATACTGAGCTCCCCACTTCTTTCCAGTCATGTCTAGTGGTTTGTGTTCTGCGTCTGCCGTGGCCCAGCAGAATCTCCTGGGAGCTCAGCCCAGAGAGCCCTCAGGCCTGTCCCTCAACCTTGGAAATACCCGAGTGCATCTGGGGCTGTGCCTGCTTTGGGATCGCGTGTCTCCAGCACGTCCCCAGCTCCAAGCCCGCATCAGAGGCACCTGCAGCCTTCCATGGTTCTCCAGCGGTTGCTGTCTGCTTGTGTCGGCTGTGTTCAACCCCCAGCTCCCTCCTGCTCTCTAGTTGCTGCCCATGGCGGGGTCACGCAGGCGGGTGCTGCGTGCGGGCACTGCTGGCACAGCCCTGCTGACAGCACAGCGCTGCGACGGGCCATGGTGGTTGCTGGCAGCTCCCACCACCCTGCCAGCACCCCTTCGTGCTTCTCCTCGGTCACTATTTCTCATATCCCCTGAGTACCATTCCCTGGGCATCAAGTGAGGCAGGGAGTGGGGGGCTGCGGTGGTCCCCGTGCCACGCTCAGCATCTCAAATAAACGCTATGCCTCCGCCACCTGCCTGGGTGTGTTGCAGCCTGGGCGCTGGGAGCACTCTGGGCAGGGGCAGCCGGGCTGCGTTCGGCTCTGTGAGCGCCGGGCAGCGGTCCCGGGCGTCAGAGCCGGAGCAAGCGCGGTGCTGAGCGGAGTGGGGGCTGCCAGGGCCACCCTTGCGTCCAGCATAGCTGGGGAGGCTGCAGCGGGTATCTGGCCCCTGTTGCCCTCTTCCTGCCTCAGTTTCCCTGTGCTGAGGCCAGCAGGAGGCTGCAGAGCCAGGGTGCACGGTGCAGGAACCGCGTGCGGTGGGGAGGCGCAGGGGCTCCTCCTGGCTCCCTGTCAGGCACGAGCTCAAGGCCAAGAGGGATGTGTGTGGGTGCTGGGGGATTGGGTGCCGTGTGCTGGGCCAGTGTCTCCCAAGCTCCACAACTAGCAGCAGAGGTGCTGGAGCTGGGAAAAGTGATAGGAAATATCGCTCCCCTCCCGCCTCGACCAGTTTGAAATGAGCCCAGACAGCCTTGGTGGCACCAGGACGTTTATAAGCAATCAGGAGGAGCCAGCAGCATCTGAGGAGAGCATGAGCGCAGCCCCCTGCCCACGCGTGGCTGTGTCCCCACGGTGGCTCTGCTGTGGGCAGAGCAGGTTGAGCAGGAGCCGGTGGCCCCTTTCCTTGCGGGGAGCCCCATGTGTGGAGGGGCAGGGGGTGGCCGCGTTGCCTCGGTGAGCGCGGGGTAGGACGGGGCAGGAGGGGCTGCGTGGGTAGGGAGGGGACTGGTGGGACGCAGGCAGAGGGGGGCTCCGAGATGCGGTGGGGACCTGATCAACCACCGTGCCCAGGCTCAGCACTGTTTTCCTTTTTGCTGGCAGCTCTGGGGCCCTGCAGCCAAGTAGAGCTGAGCAGGGAGCAGCTTCTCCTGGGAAGGATGTCTCACACGTAGTCCTTCATGGGGTAGCTCATAGGGTTGCAGGTCTTCACTGCTCTGTACTTCTTGGGATAGGGATCCTGCTGGGCTGGGGGCCAAGAGCAGCACAAGATGCCTCCACCGAAGACCAGGAGGGCACTGGAGGCCCAGCCAATGTAGAGGGCAGCCCCCAGCTCCCTCTTGAGCGCTTCGGGTACCCTGGGGTTGTAGAAGTTGCTGACAATGCTGTTGGCGGACCAGGAGACGGGGATGAGCAGCGCGATGCCGGCCATGATGAAGATGACACCCGCCACGGTGGAGATCCTCATCTTGGCATCCTTGTCCTCCACATAGCGGGTGCAGTCAGCACCCGCAATGGAGGTGAGGAAGGCACAGAAGGCCACGATGATGGAGGTGATGACAAGGGCGCGGGCCGCTTGCAGGTCGGAGGAGAGGTCCAGCAGCGAGTCGTACGCCTTGCACTGCATCTGCCCCGTGCTCTCATACACGCAGTTCATCCACAGCCCTTCCCAGAAGACCTGGGCCACCACGATGTTGGAGCCGATGAAGGCTGTCACCTTCCACATGGGCAGCGCGCACGTGAGGATGGTGCCCAGCCAGCCCAGCATGGCCAGCACCTGACCGCACAGCTGCATCGTCATCGTCTCCATGAGCAGGACCTGCTAGGAGAGGGCACAACAGTCACACACGGCCCCCAGACCAGACCTGGAGGCTGTTGCTTTGGGCTAGATGCATCTTGTTCCCCGTCTGCTTGGGGACGGCTAGATGCATCTTGTTCCCCGTCTGCTTGGGGACGGCTAGATGCATCTTGTGCCCCGTCTGCATGGGGACGGCTGCAGGCCACGCAGCACCAGGGGCTGCGCCGAGCGTTGCTGCAGGCCGGTGGGCAGCGTGGGGCGCTGAGCACCCGGCTCCTGCAGAGGCTGGGCTGCAAGAGCGGGCATGAGCTGCGTGCGGGCAAAGCGGCCCCACGGCGCCCAAGCCCATCATGGAGCAGCCATGGAGAGTTGCCCTATGCCCAGCATGGGAAAGCACTGGGAAGGGTTTGGGCACGTGGGGCTGTGTAAGGTGAGCGAGGGGCTTGCATAGCCCCCCAACCCACTGTCCTGTGACCAACTGAGTCCTGCTCCTCTGCTCAGCGTGGTTGTGGTGGCCAACCTAGAAGGTCTGCCCTGTGTCCTGGTCCATCTCTAGGGGCTCAGGCTAGCTTCCCTATCCAGCTCCTTGTCCGTAGGGAAGCACATTGCAGAGGGTGCCTGGGCCGGGCCCCACACCACACAGCAGCCCCCTGCGCTCCCAGCGACGCTCGCCACGCTCAGTCCAAGGGTAGGTTTAGCTTTGCCTCTGCTTGCTGCATTGCAACGCCCTTTGGACCCAGAGCTGCCTCTGCGGGCCGCTGGGAGCAGGTCAGAGCTCACGGCTTTCCCTGATACTGACTTTTAGTGCTCAGCACTTTCAGCGATACCAGCTCTTCTTTCCCACCGGGAACGGCGCAGGAAGCCATCCTGGAGGCAAAGCAGAGCTGCTCACCCTGTGGAGGAGCAAGGACCAGCGCCAAGGGGGCTGTGCCCAGGGTGCCACCCGCACATGCCGAACTCGCTGCTCATCCCCACGGGGTGCCTGGCGCCACATAGAGCCGCAGCCAGGAGCCCGGCAGGACGCGGGGCCTGCCTGGCCCTGCGAGAGGAGCGAGCGGCCGGCGCCGCTGCACAGCGCTGCCATGGACAGGGTGTTATGGACAGGGGCATCAGCAGTGCCAACGTACGTGTCCGACACACCCTGCGGCAGCTGTGAGAGGTTTCGCCTCCGTTCTCGGTGCCGGGTTTCGGTTTCTGTGACCTCTCCTTCCTCACTGCCTTCTCTGTCCTTCCCAGGCACCTTGTGAGTATCAGCAGGGAGAAACCGAGCCCTGGTCCCAGAAGGAGGTGAAAAGCCCCAGTGCGGGCAGGGGCTGAGGGGAGCAGTAGGCTGACTGCAGCAGGGCCAATGTAGCTGCTTGCAGCAAGCGCTGCCACCGGGGCACTTTCCAGCCAGGCCAGAGCCACTTCGGTGTGGAGAGACAACCGAACCATGTGGCTGTGACTGTCCCCATCGCATCAGCACATGTCAGCACTGCAGATGGTGGGGACAAGGAACAACCCAGCAAATCCCTTGCGCTCACGTTTTTGTCTGTTTGCCACCATTCCCAGCGCCACAGGAGCGTGGGAGGGGAGGTCTCCATTTTCCGCATTTCCACTCCCAGCAAGGAGAAGGAGGGAATCTGCGAGGCCTCAAGGCTCCAATGCGGGCTGAGGCACCACGAGCCTCGTGCGTGCAATGCGGGACGTGAGCAACGGGGCAGGCGTCATGCACGGCGCCGTCAAGGCTCCTGCGCACGCAAGGCTCAAGGCGAGGGAGGCCCTGGGGCTGGATCAGGCGCCAGGTTGGGCATGGCCTCGATTCACACCGCTGGAAGCAAAACAAGCAAATTATCTGGCTTTACCCACGCCGGGCAGCGCTCAGCCCCGGGGCTAGGCAGCGCCTCCCCGGCATCGTCCCTGTCAGCGGCACCCAGCCCCCGGCCACTGCATCTGCACCGCCCGTCTGGTGGGAGCGACGGGTGCTGGCGCTGGCATGGAGGCTGCAGGCCAGGGCAGAGGCTGGTGCTGTGGGGGCCCCAGAAAGCAGGTCTTGAAGCAGGTGTTCCTGGGACACAGGTGTCCGTGGCCCTGGCTGTCCTATGACCAAGGCCAAACCTGGAGAGGATAAAGAACATGAGGCACAGCGGGGTGTGAGCAGCTTCTGTTTAATGGGGGATGTCTGTGCCGAGGTGGGGGGGGTGTCACTGCAGCAGGTGGCAACACGAGTCACCCTGTCCTGCCCTGGGCACCCTGCAGCCCTGCTGGCTGCTCGGGATCCCCCCCGGGAGCCCATCTGGAGCTTGGTGCGCCCCGTGCCACAGGGACAGCGCCGGGAATTGATGCCCCCGGTGCCAGGGCCACCAGTGCTCACCTGTGCGCTGCCCCTGCCCAGCTCCGCTGCTCCCTCCCCAACCGGTTCTCCCAGCCCAGCTTCTGTCTTCCCACTCCCAGGATAATGATACCCCCGCCCCAAGGAGCCGAGAGGAGCAATAAATACGTCCAGCTACGCAAACACAAGCCCCAAAAGTAGGTCAAAGTAAAAACACAGGGTACAGGGATCAAGAGCCCCTGGACACCTCTCTGCACCATGCCAGGGTTTCCTAAGGCACCATGTGCCCCAGAGCGAGAAGCTGCACAGGAAAGGTTGGCAGTCGCTGCTCGCAGTGTCCCCGCAGTGACGGACGCGCTGTCCCACGTGGACAC